TGCTTTGTTTACGGTGGCTGCACAGTCTCGCATTTTATCAACAATAATTGTTGCACATATTAATAAACTGTTAATTGATTGACTTAACGAATAACGTCTGTATTTTCTCATGCCACCAGTGAGCTCGTGCAATGATCCTATTATTAAACCATCTTTAGCCATTCGTTACTATCACATAGTCGAAAATAACCATTTCTGCATTTCTTGTTCTTGCATGTTCCGTTTAGTAACTAGTGTTTGAAAGTCATATCATCGGTTTTAATCAAGAGATCCTCAGCAATCGTCCGCCACTCACTGTTAAAGCTTCGACACGCTTCGGTCCGGCATTTTCATCGATTTATAATTTACAACTTTACACATCAAAGTTTTAGCAGCTCTTAATTTAAAGAGGTTTACAGTAATAAAACGTTGCGACATTCAGACCTACAACCTCTAGTATTTATAGTCGCTGGTCATTCTCGATTTTGCAGTACCATGTAGTCCTCCTCTCTAGAACGAATATATACATAAAGGCAAATATGCATTAAGGAGAAGACTAGTCAGCCAAAAACCTAGTGGGGACTGGAGGCTCCTGAAGTCAAGGTAAAATCTAATAAGCTGCCTATCTTCTGAACAGAAAGCACTATGAATATGAAAGACGAATTTTAATAAAACATTGGATGGATGACCCATGAAAAAGCGATGTATTTCAACAGCGCGTAGTATTCATACTTTGTACCATAAACCATACCGAAGTAGCATAATGTCTACGGTAATGTAAATCATAAATCTACGGTAATGGCGAGTTATCTTACGTTTACACAATTATGCATCAAATTACACATATTTTGTTTATTGAGCAGTAAAACTATGATCGTTACGGCCATAGAAGGATTCAGTGTTACAAGAAACGTCAGCAACCTGCTGATAAAATTGCTGAGCAGAGTAAATTGTGGAAGACTAACGATCGAAGAACTTTCCCAGAACAAAAGCTTCCCAGAATATCAGGGTTCCATTCTGTCACTCTTCCGACTACGGACAACGGCTATATTCTTTGACTGAACATACTTTTGTTGAATCTATGTGAGACGTAGTCCCACGTCCTATGCACTACAGGTGCTTAAATACCATCGAGCCGTGGCTTACTTAACTGGTCCCCTAGGCGCTTAGAAGCAGGGGAGGTGCATCAGAGTTGCTGGTGTAAAGAGAAAAGTTGATTTTTATTTCTTTACACAGTGCATTCGCCGTTTCAATTGGGTATCATTATTTTTACTGTGAAGAACTATCCAACAGCAAAGATTCAAATAATATTTTTAAAGTTGTTTAAATAATGAGAAATTTTATGCTACTAAAATTTGACCACAGAATTATAAATTCTTATGTTTACTGTCATAAGTAAATCGAACGAGAAACAGGATAAATAGGGAACTAGGATAAAATTCATCAATTAATTCAAGGTTCACTTTCATATCGCTGAATACAGTCTGCCGCGTGAATCGCGATACCTGGATTTTGTGAACTAATGTCAAAAGTAGCTACTAGAAATCAGACTAAGGTCAAGAATTAAAAGTAAGACTGCGGGACTATAACCATAACCTTGCCAGAAACGATATTAATCGTACATATAGGGGTACAATCATTATAGGGTGTATCCCATTACGCGCTATAATGAGTTCGTCTAAGCGTTGTGGTCAACCAACAGCCAAAAATTGCAGTAAAAACTTTTTAGCTTTATTAGCAACAGTAGTTACTCACTTCTAGCCATTTAACAGAAGAATCATAGACATACCAGTTGCTTCCTTATGACGTTGTACTTATTTTGTGGTGCTTTCAGTGCATTTTACTTAGCAAAACTATTTCCATAATACAAACTGTTTCATTACTTACTATACTTGGAGAAAAAATAACACTCAGGCATCTTGCTCAAGTCGTATTCGTGGAGAAACTCGCACTGGTCGCCTTTCTTGCACAGTCCACGAAGCCAGTGCTTGCACACGACCGACTTCTCGCCAGCTACATGACGAAATGGACACTGAACACCTTTGCTGCAGGAAGAATTCAAGAAAAAAGCACATATCGCAGCACCGGTTTCTGCAACAGTACGAATTCAATAAAACCAGCAGAGCAACGTTATGCAGACCATAATAAAACTTACTATCCATGCCAGCAAACGGCAATGGTTGAGCACCGAGCTGAGACTCCAGTGCCACCTCAACATCGAATACCAGATGATCGACGTTTGCGACCAAATCCAGCATTGCCATTTATGATCTTGTTTGAATTTTATAGAATTGATGCGAAAATACGCCAAGACGCTGCTGCTGCCCGCCTCTTATACTGTAATACTGATTAAAATGCCCAAATTATTTACCTGATAATCTAAATGACAAGAAATACAATTTTGTACGATGGAACTTCTATATATGAGTTCTGCATATTAAATTCTGGATTTACGTTGACACATTCTGCTGATTTTCAATTTTTAGTCGGTATTCAGGTGCTCAAAAAATTGCAGCTGTAAAGCGTATGAGTAGATCACCATAACCGCATATCCCACATGTGCTGGCACGACCAAACCAAAGCACGAGGTTGCTCCTTTTATCAGCAGGTCAATTACTAGTTTTTAACTGGCTGTAATCAAGCACAGAAAAATGAACTTTTTGCTCAATAGAATCAGCAGTAAATCATGTAAAATTCACTCTGCGCGTTGAAATTGAATCCTTTTTCTCACTTTCAAAGCAACCTGCGAAATAACTACGCCACCGCATCACGTCATGAATAAATTTTAATGCAGTGGCTTTCACTTCCCGATATATGATTCAAGACCAAAATTATAATGTAAAATCCTACATTTACAGTAACATGTCGACACCATACACCTACATCATCACGAAAGGTTGCCAAGATTTAATCACCCTGACGATTATCCTTGCGTTCGGTTTCGAAGCGCATAAGTAAATATAGATTTTCACACTGCTCCATTTAACTGTTACTTTTATCCATAAATTTGGAAGCGTATACCATTGAATGTTATCCAAACAAGAAACAAATCGATGTCTCCTTCGAACCTCCTCAGATCAAACTAATTTCTTGAATG